TCCCTGGAAAGTCTAAATAGCTGTCTGGTGTTACCGATCGCCGATGCCTTCTCCGTTTCTTTCGCTTTAGTCGTCCACCAGTGTTCATGGTCGTTACGAAGACCTCTTGTTAGTATGCGTTTGAGTAGCTTTCGCTCCTCATCATAATCGGAGCTCGCCGGAATCAGTCTTCTTGCGTTAATCATTTCGGATAAAGTGGTAGAAATTCACTGGCTCCTACTAACTCTTGGTTTCAGCTTATTAACAAACTTTACAGCTGTGTCTACAGCTAACTGTATGTTGTGCCAGGCTTCCTCAGGAGATCATGCTGTCGACCTCAGATACTCGCTTCGCTATTTCTTCCTTAAGTAGAAACTCAGTGTCTTAATCGAGTTGAAGGCGTAACTGCTTCACTGCCAACAGTTTTTATGTCAACTTAATCGTAATCATAAGCGTGCGTGAGCCAGGACATTATCGGTGTCTGCGCACCTGTTTTTGAAGGAGCGGTTGTCTTCCATTGACCCTAGCCAACGACATCCTATCGTTATGTGGTCTGTTTGAGTCCAACGTTGATTTGGTTATGGAGGTCTTTAAGTTAGGTTATGTCCTTCTTTGTGCCTAAAGTTAGTGCTGACAAGGAACAGAAGATTATCTGGATAAAATCGTAGGAAACGAGCACCTTTTGTCAGTTCATCAGCAGGGAAATTCGTACATACCACCTATGTACTCCTCACTCTGTCCTAATCGCCCTAAATGGGCATTGAAGTCGCCTGCTAGAACAACTGCATATGAGCGTTTCCCTTTTTTGCAGTAAACTAAACAGTTTCTGGAAAAATCATCCTTTATTTCATCCGATCTACAATCGGTTGGGGTGTAAGCGGCGACTGTGAAAAGACAACGACAAGTGATACCATCCTTCCTTCCTCTGATGGACCCGTTCAAGCGCACTGCACATATAAAACCGTCTACTAGGGTTTATTCAATGAGTGATTTTTCTGCCCTAACACTCAATGCTATCCCTACACCTGCGAGTCCTCGTGAACTATCTGAGAAATCTGCTGACACCCTTAATATGAATTTTTCAGATTCACCTTGTTGGCCGGGTGGGGTTATTTGACTGAGGACACTCGAGTCTTGTATGCGTGTCTCCGAAACACAACATACATCCATGGCTTGAGATGACAGAGTTCTTGCTAGTGATGCCTGTTGCAAGATTTGACAGAGGGTCCAGATGTTAAATGCTCCCACATGAAGATGGAGGCGTGGCTTTAAGAGGCTACCGGGAGGCTTTTCACGGCTCTCAACGTCATTTGTGGTCACAGAATGAAATCGAGATGATTGACTGGCCTGCAGAATAGTACTGATAGTAGTAGGGAAGCAAGATAATGAAGGCGACAGGGATGAAGGAGAATGATGATCAGGAGGGCTTCGTGTACTTTTGGAAGTGTGAGGGTGGTTGTTACTTCCCGGCTACCCATACCGTGGAATAGAAATAGAGTTAGTGTTGTGTGACTGCAGAGCCCAGGGGACAGCTGCTTGAGGCCGGTCACAAACGGCTTGTCTGAAATGGCTTTTGGGTTTGGTTCCGTATTAGTAACTCATATCCGTTTACACATCACCACAGGGTAAGTCGAGATGTACAATTTCTTGGGTGAACTTTTTCTAGCTCCCTCTCCCCACTATGGATAGATGGCATAGTTAGTATGCTGTTCATCTGGGAGAAACATTTTACTACTGTCACATCCCTGTTCCCCAGCAGTACGACTTTGCCTACAGACCCTCAGCATATTGTAAAAATGGAAATCTTGCACTATGCTGGTAATTGCTTTCAGTTAAATTGCTCTCCCATCAACCCTTCTTGTATGGTACGACTTGCGAGAACATTAGTTCCGGCTATTATAGCTTGCTGGTCCACCACAATGTCCCAAACCGATCACCATGTCAAACTAGCAGCTATCGGTCAGTTGTTCTTAATTACTATTTTGTGCATTTTTCGTGCGACATTTATTATTATCATTTTCTTATCTAACCTTCTACTCGCTGTCTTCACTAACTGCATAATTTTTTTCAACACTTGCCTCCATGCCTTTTCATCATTAACATCCAATTTCCCCCTGAACGTTTACATATTGAGCGACCCTAGTCTGGACCTACTAATCTCCATCCTCCCTAGTTATAATTTTTAGTATTTGTCACAGTTTTCGAAATGTTTTGATGAATTGAACAATCACCCAAAACTGACCATTTTTAAATTCTTGTTTAACAGATTAAATGTAAAAACACCAAAAAAAATGTAATTATATATAATTGCGATTGTACAATTAAGTGAACGAATTCCCCGAAAAGAGACTTTTCGCTCAACTGTTTGTTCTAAACATTATTATTACTATTACTATATTATTAACCACAACTTGCGTTTCGAGTGGAGCAGAGAGCTTCAGTTCACTTTTTTTCTGCATTCCGGAGTTTCAGTAGAGGCTAATGAGTTTCTTTTTTTACGAGTTCGAGTTGTATGCCTCGCGCCTAAAAAGTCCACTTAGGCAAAGTTTTTAAGCCAGGAAAATAACTAGTAATTATTATCATAATTCCGTGAAGGCAATTATTTAGAAATCATTACTTATATTTGTTTTAATTGCCTCTAACTACTGAGACCAAAATTAAATCAGTTTTTGAGTGAACTCAAAACCTTCAAAATTAACCTGTTAAACATGAGTTAATAATAGTTATTCGATCATGTAACAGGTGCACTGCTGTCTACTAGATCTGTGTTTATAACTTCCCCTCTTCACTGGCATAATCTGACCGCACTCTGTAAACCCTGTAGGACAACCAAAATCTAAACTTACTGTCGATTATATCCTCCATTCGACATTGCTGTGAGGAAACAGGCGTAAAATGGACTCACACAAAAACTTGGAGGATCTGGACTTCGCCGATGATATATGTCTGATTTCCCACAAACTGGAAGATATGCAAGCGAAAAGTAACAAGTTGGCAGAAGAAGCATCAAAGATAGGACTTCAGGTGAACATAGAGAAAACAGAGGTGATGAAGATTCTTGGGCAACACCACCAACAGCAACAACAACAGACAACAATCAGCATAAATGGAAGGAACCTGAAAGAAACAACCTCCTTCACCCACCTACCTGGGAAGCATCGTTTCAACTACAGGACGGAACTGACGAGGATATCAAAGTAAGGATAGGGAAAGCAAGCCAAGCTTTCACTACTCTCAAGTCTGTGTGGAGGTCAACAGCACTCAGCATCAAAAATATGATCCGGATTTTAAACTCCAATGTGAAGTCCGTTAGTGCTACTATACGGATCAGAGACTTGCACTGCGCGTCATAAAGAGCATCTCAAACAAACTACAGACCTTCATCAATCAACAGTTGTCTTCGCTCAACACTACTCAAGATCAGATGGCCGGCCAGAAAGTATCAGCAATAGGGATCTCTGTCAATGAGCGAACCAACCAGGAACCGATTATGAAACAAATCGGCAGGAATAAATGGAGATGGATTGGCCATACTCTGAGGAAACCATCAAGTGACATCACTAGACAAGCCATTGCTCGAGTGGAACCCGAAAGGGAAGCGGCGAGTTGGTCGTCAGTGCAAGGGTGACTTGGAGGAGATCATGTGAAGAGGAGATGAAAACGTGTGGGCAGACTTGGAGCCAGGTGAAGACTCTAGCAGAGAACAGAACGCAATGGAGACGCACGGCTGAAGCCCCATGTTCCTCAAGGAATTAAAGGAAACAATAATAATAATTCGACATTTCTGACCATGAATTAATTTGAAAAAAAACAACTTCAGCACTAAGGAGTGCTTCAACCACATTCAGCAGCTATGTGGCAATGCCACATGTCAAAAGATCAACAACGGAAAGCTCAGTAATGCCTCTAAAGTGAATGGAGGAGTAGGAGAAGGTTCTCTGCTATCACCCATGATGATATTCCTGATTGTGGTTGACTCGATTCTGCGTCAGAGGGTGCGTCGGAAGCGAGAAGACAGTAATACGTTGGACTGATAAGAATATGACTCTAGAAAATCCCGAACTCATGGACGATTTATATCTAGTGTCATATAAATTCGAAGACTTAGAGGTGATAGCCAGTAAGTTGGCAGAAGAGCGTGGTGGCAAACACATGACTTTGAGTGAGCATAGAGGAGACAGATATGATGAAGACGGCCAACCAACAACAGCAAACACCAATCCCTATCAAGGGTATAAATATGAAAGGAGTCAGTTCCTTCACGTATCTTGGCATCCTCCTTTCAAATACAGGCAGACAGAAAGAATCAGGATATCACCATGAAATCCGACAGCAAATCTTCTGTACACGCCATAAGGAACGAGATTCCAGTTTTTAAACCAATAGGAAACCAGTTCTTTTATATGGGTCAGAAACTGATCAATTGATTCACTAAAGCATTTCCAACGTACGGCTGCAAACTTTCATCGACAGATGCCTTCTCTGACTCCATACTGGAAATCGGAAGGCCAACTGGCCAGAAATAATTTGTAACAAGGAAATCCTACTGCTCAACAAATATATGAAAGATACTAGTGACGAGTCGGATTCACTCTAAGGAGACCGCTGGGTGACATCACACACCATGTCATCGCTCTACTGATACTCAAGTGGCAAACAATAATTTCAGCAAGCTTCCAATGGTGACATGGAAGATGTCAGTCATGTAACAGAAAGATGAGGGCCTTTGTGTAGTTATGGAGCTAACTGAAGTGGGCTGCAAAGAACTGGGTGAAATGGAGATTTCCTGTTGAAGCCCTTTGTTCCATTTGGGAACCTAAAGGAACAATAACAGCCTAGTAAAATATGCAACTTCTGGAATATTTAACGGTCATCACCAATAATCACTAGAAAGCATTATTGTAAAAGACTTAGGATATATACCTGATAATTCAACGCCTACTTTAATAGACACCAGTAGCAACATAATAATAACAATAACAACTATAAGTATATAAATAGAAATACATATATAACATATATCATAAACAATTGTAACCACAGAAACCACATGTAAAATACTTTTGTGTACAATAAAATTGTTTACAATTACAAAATAAATGTCTACATTGATGTCGTACTATCGGGCTGAAAATAAAAGTTAACCAAAATAAAATACATAGCTGAAGTGTTGTCCAGCATTGTATACTATAGGTAACTAAATGCCATATTTTAATCATTCGATAAAAATAAGCCACAGTATCACTTGTAGGCAACACATTTAAATGTTGTGCACAATACCAACCAATATCTGCTGGAACATTGAATACAACTTGAAAGATAGCCAAAATAAGGCCTAAGTACCGGCCAGTGTTGACTGACTTTAGTAATGAGCAAGTGGAGGAGTTCGAGGAGCGAGGAGGTGGTGGTTGCCGTCGTCGCCATGGTTTTACTCCAAAAGGAAATGGAATGCTTTAGCAGTTTACTTCCTTTCTGTTGCTTCTTTTGTTGCTGTTGCTGTTTATGGCTACTGTCACAGTTACCTGAATTCACAGAGGCAGGAGTCATTTGTGCTGCATATACTCGGCTTTGTCTGGGTGACAATGAACACGAGAGGAGGATAGAACAATCTTTTATTCTAACCACTCTGAACATTCTATTATATTCTGACTTTTTGTAAATGGAAGGTGTACCAGTTGGTGTTAACTTGGTAAGTGAATTATCTTCCAATTGAATTGTAATCAACTCGTCACAATCCCCGTCATTTGAAACACTGCGGCCTTTTAAATCTATTGAATCATATTTAACTTTTGGTAGGATGTTAGCCGGTTGAGATTTATTTCTTCCGCGATTCTTGAAATAGTAGACTGTATAGACAATTACTCCAATGAAGCATCCAAAATTTGGGACTGAACAGTGAATCACCTAATAAACACAAAAAATTTTAATTAAGGAAGGTAATGCAAGACAAGGAAAAGTAAAAATCATTTTAAAAAATGGGAGGTCTACTACTTATCAGGTATTAACGTATACCTCTGTGAATATCCGGATTCGATAACCAATTTTAAAGACATCGAAGTGCATCGGTGGTTCAGCAGTGAAATGTTACCCAGGTGGCCCTAGTCTCATACTTCACCGACGTAATATTCAGCCTCCCCTAGCAGGTATTAAGGCTGGCAGTCTTACCCCATTAAAAAAGGTGCTACTGAGAAGTTTATCCACTCACCACACAAATAATGTCAAAAAGAACAGATAATGAAACCACTCTGGTGATTGCATGAGTTTTTTAATGTTGTAATACACCAATAAACCAATATAAGTCTTTAGTATCGGTTTCTCCATCATTCGCTTTCCTAATGATGCAAAATTTAATACACAGGGCCTGTCTATGGTCCGTCAAAAGTTCTCTATTAGACCACCTTAGCACTTTAAATCCAGTCTAGTAGATTGTTGTTATCAATATAATAACATCAAGTATGGCTGTAAAAGTATTCTGACAAAGGTACACATAAAAGAACCATAAAAACTGGTAAATGACAAAACACTGATAATTAAAAAAACCTCATAAAGGATCAGGAGGACGTATTATCTCTATTTAAAATAAGTAGAAAATATCAGTAAATATTGACATCCCAGTAGAAATCCTTAAACAATTGTTACGTAAATGTACCATTTTAATTTCGAAGGCGAACTCTACTGACGGGTGAATGAGGTGGCATTGAGATCTCCTGTGGGTCCCATGTTAGCATATTTCTTTCTAAGTAAACTAGAAAATGGTCCTTTAAACAATTCTACCAGAAAATTCTCATTTTATTCCCCATATATATGGATGACACCTTCTTCCTTTGTGAAAATGATTTGAACAGGAACGCAATAACATATCTCAATTGACAAATGAAGTACTTTCATTTTTGATTGCATACTAGTCAGTAACTAGCGTAATGTGTCTAGTCCTATCATCGGTGCAGACTGAATATCCAATACAGTCCTACAGGAGGTCAGTCGCGAGCCTGAATAGCTCATTTGCAAAGTCTCTGACTGTAGCACTGGGTGACGCGGGTTCGAATCTCTGAAGGGACATCAGTTTTTTCAAAGTTGCAGATACGCCTTGCTGATGAGTGCCAACTATCACGAGACCTGGGTCAAGCAAGGCTTCCTGTGGCCGATTGCCTCCAGCCATCTAATACCGAAGTACTTTCAGCTATGAAGCACATGTGTGAAGAAGAACCCCAAAGTGAAATTGCCTCTTTGGACTTTCTACCGACTACAAGACCAGATCATTGTGTTAAAATGAATTGAAATTGAAATTGTATAGCACCTGGACACACAGTATTGCATTGCGACTTTTATCATAAAGTTCGTCTTACGGTTTCAAATACGCTGTATTGATTTTGGAAAAATTTCCCTATTTTCTCGTTACAATGGTTACCGTAAAACGACACAAGTTAGATAACATCTAGACATATTTTTCTAGAAATCCTTTTACTCATTTTTTTATGTTGTCAAGTATTTCTTTTACTACTGACTTCGTATGAGTAGCTGGTGACAACTGACGTTAACCAACAGGTTCGTTTTGCTTACTTTCTTAAATGTTACTTGTGGTATACAGTGGACTACTTTTTCCTCATCTGAATAATCATTCTTTTCAAAGGAAAGTAAATCTGTGGATTATTCCCTTCGAACCACTGCATTTCCAAATGATGAATTCGCATCTACTCATTTTTTTTTAATATTAATTTTATTGCACGGAGGATTTCATCATGAGCTGATATCAATTAGAGAACCACCGGAAAACCTGGGAGTATTGGACAGCTGTTTCGTCCTAGTTTATGACTCTTCATCAGTACGCACTCACTGAGGTTCGAACCCAGGGCCTTCTGGTTACAAGGCGAGTTAGCTCGTAGGCCATTGAGCCACTGGGACCAGTAGGGTACAGCAGGTTGAAGATGAGGCAGTAAGTAGCTCATCGAAGAAGACATTGCGAAATGGTCGCGCTATGTCGTGAATTGGCAGAAGTTAGAATTAAAGGACCATTGGTTCGGGTCCCAGTGGCTCAATGGTCTACGAGCTAACTTGCCTTGTAACCAGAAGGTCCTGGGTTCGAACCCTGGCGGTGGTTGCGTACTGTGAAGAGTCCCAAACTAGGCTGACGAAACAGCTGTCCAGTACTCCCAGGTTTTTCAGTGGTTCTCTAACTGATGTCGGCTTATGATGAAATCCTCCGTGCAATCAAACAAAATCCCTACATAATCAATACTTGAAAATTAATTTTATTGACAAATTATGGCTTCAACAGCAAATCTTCAGATTGTCTTGTTTCCTTCAGTCCCCTTCGGCTGGCCCTGTGACTGCCCATAGGCCCTCATCTCCTTCTCACACGGTTTCCTCCGTGTCACTTTCAGACACCAGCTAAAAACTCGTCATTTATCATTGAAGTTCCACTCAAGCTACGGTATGATGCACAATGTCACCCAACGATCTCCTTAGCATGTGTCTGATCTATCTCCATTTTCTTCCACATTTCTGTTGATCACCAGTTTCTTGTCACTAATTCTTTCTGATCTGCAATTTCACAAAAGTCTACAGTCTCCTGTTGGAATATCAAAGCAAGAATCGGAAAACATGACAAGCTTTCACTACTCTTAAGTCTGTGTGGAGGTCAACAGCATTCAGCATCAAAAATAAAATCTGGATTTTCAACTCCAATGTGAAGTCAGTGCTAATTACTATATGGATCAGAGACTTGGCGCGTCACAAAGGGCATCTCAAATAAACTACAGACCTTCATCAACAGTTGTCTTTGCTCAGTACTCAAGATCAGACGGCTGGCCAGAAAAGATCAGCAATATGGATCTCTGAGAGCAAATCAACAAACCGGGAACCGATTGTGAAACAAATATGCAGGAAGAAATGGAGATGGATTGGCTGGCCATACTCTGAGGAAACAAGCCGTCAAGTGACATCACTAGACAAGCCTTCGAGTGGAACCCAAAACGGAGGCGGCGAGTTGGTCGTCCAAGGGTTACTTGGAGGAGGTCATGTGAAGAGGAGATGAAAGCATGTGGGCAGACTTGGAGCCAGGCGAAGACTCTAGCAGAGAACCAAACGCAACGGAGACGCACGGCTGAAGCCCTATGTTGCTCTGGGAATTAAAGGAAAAAGTAATAATAATCCTGTTGGAAATGTCTTAGATGATGCATCAAGTTTCCTACCCATACAAAAGAACTTGATAAACATTGATGTTGAAAACCTAAATTTCTTTTCTTAAGCTCAAATAAGGTACTTTGAAGTCCCTGCAGTGATTGGATTGATTTTCCGGGATAAGATCGCTAGTCGCCAAACCCAATCTTCCCTCTATTTCCAGGCTTACAACTGGCAAGAAAACTGGCCAACTAGTACAGTGGGCAAGGCTGACAACAATGATGATCAAAAGCAGTTCTTTAAGTGCTTTCATGCATCAAATGAGTAGGTTGTTAAAATCTCTATAATATTTATAACACCCGATCCCGCCCTACAGAATAAAATCTGTAGGGTTTACTTTTCTCTGCAAATTTAGTGTAACCTACGCCAAATCTATTTCTGTTTTACTCAACCATGCGTGCATTTGTCCGCCATACCTTTTTTGTTTTAAAAAAGTAACAAGATATTTTCACCTATAGCATTACCGCATTTAATTAACTGAAAATATTCAATCACAACACAACAATCTATTTGAAGCATAGCATAGGACGATTTGCTTATGAAAAGCTATCGAAGTTATCTGCGTAAATACTATTCAACCTGAATGTCAGAAAATTTCGCTTCAATCATGTTTTCTTTCTCTGGAATTAAATGTTACAAGCATTGTTTATGCAGGTTCTTCGACAATCGAAAGTCAAAGATTATAAAAGGAACATGTTTACAGGAATTTTTGATCATGGAATAAAACAGTCAGTTGATTTGTGCAAAACCTTGATTTAATTTATAATAAAATGGCGCATCAAACACTAGTGGCTTGTAGTTTACAAGCGCTTTCATTCATATTTCAGTCTATTCAGAAAAACAGGTAGTTTCTGCTGATTACCGTCTCAATGACCGCTGCAGTGTAATATCATTTCAGATTTTATTGATGTGTTTTGTCCACAACTTGAAAAATCACAGTGGATACTTCTTGCTGATGAATTCCTACAAGCACGAAACCTAGATCAAAGGCTTCCTGACGATTGCATTCAACTACCTATTAACAAAATCTCAGAATTTACCATGATGGCGAGCCAAGGCTGTTAATGGAATGCTGAATTGGCTCATCTGAGGAAGTTTTAGAAGTTCACAAAAGGCCATATAGATATGACCTTGGATAACAATCCTTTAGTTGTTTTTTTGTGGGGGGGGGGGACGTTTTGTGACTGTGAGTCTCTCAAAGAAGTTTTAGACAACTAAACATTAGTACGCATAGATCGGCGAGTCAGTCTTGGTAGTTACAGTACTCAAATGAAATTCAGCTCACTCATAAATTTGAAAGTGAGGAAGAAGAAGAACTAATATTGAACACTATGAAGACAGGATGACATTTTGGGAACAATAGTTTACAGAAAACCAGCAGACTCTGAGGGACACGTAACATTTACCTTCTCTTACCACAAAGCTGGTAAGACAGGCTTAGTTAAACGTTAAAACAGTCAAGCTATTAATTCGATCCATAGTCCCGAAATAGGTGGGCCACAAAAATGTGAAAAAAACGTAAATAGTGAAGAAAGTTTCCTTTGTGATGATTCACTTTCAAAAGCGGTATAATCGTGTTTAATGTATTCCTCAATACCTCACAAAAGGACTTCGAATACTCCATTTATGCAAAGCTAATTTTGTATTAATAACGTTGCATTTTCATACAGATTTTACAAAAACACTTTATCGTCTTTCCACTAGTTCCTGTCCACTCTACACAACCATAATAATTAGTCATTTTCTCACACTTATTGAGACATCCCAACTTCCATTCCATTTTTCTAATTTCCGAATAGTTACCCCTTCTTTGTTACACCTTACAATACGTAATACGTTTTTTCGAGAACAAATTCTACCACTACCTGACCGGTTTTATGAATTTGTTGTTAAAAATAGACACGATTGTACAGCTTTTAAAAGTGAATCGTAGCAAAGAAAATTTACTTCACTGTTTACGCCTTTTTTTCTTATGATTCAATATGAGAATATTCCGTTCACAAACGTGTACCCATAGAGGAGTACTGGTATTCATCAGTTATGCTTTGGAAGTGTTTGTAAAACCTGTTGGAAAAATAAATTAAGGTGAGTGAGAATTTCAGGGAAATAAGGAGAGGGCCCAAAGCCTCTACAATCTTGCTAATATAAAAGAGTAATACCAAAGAGTCCAAACGGTGTCGAAGAAACTGCTATTCATGAACGTCAAATTTAAAGATGATACCTCAGCTGAGATCCTGGAGGACAGCTTATGCAGATCACTGAGAAAAGCCTTCTTTTCGGCTGAGCTAAGGAGCGATTTCTACAGCCGACAAATGATCAATGGATGTGTGAGCGGTAAACTGACGCTTTTGGCCACTTCAGTATGTGTTTATAAATTTACTTGCCCCTGTGGAGAAAGTTAAATTGGCCTCACAAAGCGCACCTCTGAATATTAACCAGCATGATTAGAAAAAGGTCAACGCAAGACAGTTACTAGCACAATTTTTACAAGCACTTGATGAACTAAAGCCACGTAGCTCCTCCACCAGAGTCTTCTTTGAAGATCATCTGCAAAGTGAGACCGGATGTTACAAAGTACGTCAAATTCCGGCATTTGTGTATGGCGGAGGCGTTGTCAATTTGTCAATGCAACTCCGAACTCTGTATTCGTTTGTCCAGTCTCTTATTCTAACATGGTCTTAACCTCTTCATTAGTTATTCCATGTAATTTTTATTTTTATTTTTAATAATTAGTTCACTTTTACTATAGTAATTAGCTTATTATTATCACTCTCATAGGTTCCTTTTGTACATTTTCTCACTCTTTCCACACTTGTTAAATTGACACTCAACTACTTTTCTTCTCAATCAGTAACAGTTTTAACCTTTTCAAATTTCTAACACCTTGTTCCTTTGTCCCGTTTAGTATTGCGTAATTTACAACTTTTATTTTTACTTCTAAAGTGACTTCTAAGTAATGATATCAATTGTCTTACCCCCCCCCCCGTCACTACCTATTACTCAAAAAATGAACTGCTATACGTGTTTTCGTAAGTATAAATACGACTGTACATCCTTGAAAGATGATTTCGTCGATAATTTTCTTCGCTGAAATGTCTTTTATTTCTTTCACGTTCCTAGTGGAACATAGCTTGAAGTTTCTGTAGCAGTGCTTATTTTACAGGATGTGGTTGTTAGCTTCATGCGCAACCTTTCCTCTTCACCAGCATTATTTCTGGCTTAGCGAGGTAAAGGAGTGCGTCCAGTGGCCGGGGATCGAACCCCGGACCATGTGCATGGTCGGCGAGCGTTGTAACCACTGTGCCACGGACGCACAGTAAAGATTAAGGGGCAATAAATTATGTTTAAAGCAACATCCAATAAATATTAGTGTATCACTGAGTGCTTGAACAAACTAATTATAATTTCATTTTTGACCACGAATTGATATCAGTAAGAGAACCATTGAAAACAGAGTGTCTTCAACGGATGTTTTGTTCCACTTAAGGATTTATTGGCACAACGCACCTAATGGGGTTAGAAACCGGTCAGGAGTGAGGGCAAACACCCGCTGATGAAGTTGACTGGCGGTCGTGCCAAAAGCATCACGAATATGATAGAAGTTAGAATTCATGCTCCAATGAATCGGATCCCAAAGGCTGAATGGTGTACGAGCTTGTCTTATAGCCAGAAGGTCCTGGTTTCTAAACTCAGTAGGTACTTACTGCCAGTGAGTCCCAAACTAGGATGAAACAACTGTCCAGTACTCTCTCAAAGGTTCTCTAACTGATATCAATCCGTTGTCTTGAAAATTAATCTGGTAGTTGCTAGTGACTTGCTACTGGTTGGAATATCCTGGTGCTCAAATGAAAAGTCGTGACTACTGGGCTCCATTCAGTTGGGAGTGAGGATGGAGTTCCCACCGATGACAATAGTTGGCGGTCGCGCTAATATCACGAACTGATAGAAGTTATAATTCATGGACTAGCCATTGGTTCGGGTCGCAGTGGCTGAACAGTCTACGAAAGTCCTGGTTTGAACCCCGGCATTGGATGCATACTGATGATGAGTTCCACACTAAGACGAAACAGCTGTCCAGTACTCCCTAGTGGTTTTCGATGGTTCTCTAAATGATGTCAATCTGTGATCATACTTGAAATGAGTCGAATCCCTACAGACTAACCCTTTAAAATTAATTAATTAATTAACATGAAATTACAGCTCTTATATGTCCCTTTTTAACTTTTAACTTTAACTAACTACGACAAAAAAGTAAATGTCAAATTGGAAATAAATTTTTATGTCCAAAGTACTTAATGATTTATGGGGCAGTATAACTGATGTTTAAAATGTCATCAACTTCTTTATGATATTCTGCTTAGGCGTAAATTTAAGGACAGCTGACACACAAACATCAGTGTGGACTTATTGGTGTATATATATATATATATATATGTTACTTTTCCTACCTATTTGTTGTTTGATGTATGTGGAAGCTAGCAGAGGAGAGAGAGAAAGTAAATAGTAAAACAGAAGATGCACTAAAGCAAAGGTGAATGGAGAAGCGTAGTTCAAACTATTAAACACTGAGCATAGCAGTGAAGAAGAGGTTTAGGAAAGACGAAAGACAATTTAGTTACAACGGCAACTGGAGCAGTGACTTCAAATCCTTCAACCAGAGAGAACCATATGGCTTTCAGGAAAGAGATCAATATGGATGAAATCAATAAAAGATAATGAAACAAACCTACCTGATCATCGAAGATAAGGAACAAAGGCAACCCAGGTATAATCCCTTTGCGGGATTCTTGAATCAACCATTACCCAAAACTCGTATGGTAAACAACAACTCTCCAGCGACGCCAGTAGTCATTAATGCCATAAAGCTACTGAAATACAGCCAGTAAGTCATCAAACCAGATGAAATCCCTCGAGAAGCACTGAAAATGAAACCAGAGACATCTGTTGATACATCTGAGCTACAGCTGCAGACAATTTCGAATGAAAGGAGGACACCCACTAATTGCAAGAATGAATACCTTGTCACACTACCGAAGAAGACCGGCTTGAGCCTTTGCAAAAATTGGTTCTGAATTTCCCTCCTGTCCATGCCAAGCAAAATATTATACTGCATCATCGTGATGGAGATGGATCAGGCATACATTGAGGAGACCGTCGAATGACACCGCACTCAATGCTGGCCATAGCTCGAGTGGAATCCAAATGGGAATCGACGAGTATTTCGTCAGTGCGAGGATGAGATGGGCAATCGCGAACCCGGCTGAAGAGGACGGTAGGAGAAAGGACAAAGTGGAGATGTGTTGTTGAAGCATTATGTTCCACAAGAAACCTAATAGAAGAATAATAATAATCGCGAATCGCCTAAAAAATCCTCTCGATTCAAAACGCTGCCTGGAAGAGGAAGAAGTGGACCGAATTGCAGTTCTAACCCTCGTTATCGGACAGAGTATAGAGTGGCAGCCAAATCTATAATTCAACTTCAGTGACTTCGGAAAAACCTTAGACAACATCGACCATCAAGCCACTTAGCAGCTGCTTTAATACTTCAGCACTTCTTCTAACAGTTAAATGATAATACCACATGTTGGATAATTTAAAAGGAAAACCTCAGCAAAGTGTTCCAAGTTAAAATAAGGCTATCTGCCTTCGCTGATGATATTTCTGATTGTGGTGGGCTGGAACATATAACAGACTGTGGAAAAGGGGAGAGAAAGGGCATACGTTGGGCCAACAAGGAAACTCTGGAAGGTCTAAACTTCGCGAACTATTTATGTCTAATATCACAGAAATTCGGACAAAAAATAGATCAGGAAACCTATTGATCAACAAATATACAGAGAAAAATAGAGATGGATTAAACAGATGTGCTTAGTAGACCTATGATTGACATCACGCACAAGGCATCAGGCTACCTAGTGGAACTTAAATGGAAGACAATGAGTCAGGCATTCTAGCATGACACAGAGGAGATCGTGTGAGGGGAGATGAAAGCCTATGGGCAATATCCCGTGGCAGGTAGAAAAGACTGTCCAGAATAGAGTGGAATGGCGATTTGCAGTTAAGGCCTTTTGTGTCACTGATTTCTTCTTGATTCTTTAGCATATTCCTCACTCAAATCAATTAATTGTTAAGCATATCAAATAGCAAAATTGTTCAACTTACCCTTAACAGATACGGATAAACGTAGGTGAAAATTGGTGAATGCTTTTCCAAATCAATTTCACACTTTCCATTTGAATAATGATGCAGCCATATTGAATGAACATTTAAAAATACTTGTAAGACAATTATTGTAATTGTAATTAATTTTGCACCAAATATGGTAAGTCCACCATCTGTTGAAATTAAAGGTTCGGAAAAAAAAACAGAAATATAAATAAACGCATATTCTCTAGTAGGAGCAGACGATCAGAAAACACCCAACCTCTACTTTTACAGTTTGCCAGTTATTGCATCTTACCCATTGTTCCTCTCTTACTACCCCCGTATTATTTCGTCGGCTACTCAAAAAAGAATACGTCATATTCTGTAGGGTATTAAAGGTTGTCAGCTTGTTAAGATTGTAGTCGGCGGACATCTGAAATCCTGAGAGAGAAATGGCCTAAATCCGTTCGGTCTGATTCCCAGCACTGTCTTTATTCACAACTCACCCAGCCTTGAATCTCATCAGGTAGGACTTGGAATGGTTGTAAAAGATTATGTGTTCGCAAAGCCGAATACCGAAGCCCAACGGTACCCTATTTGACCCACCCACGTTCTATGTGACAGAGAAAGTGATAAGCGTGCAACTTATAGATTACTAAGTAATTAACAAAATAACTGACTCTATTATCTTCTCCTACTTGTACTTTATCATGAAATTATCCCAGTTATCTTATAATTTTAGTTACTAAAAGTATGATTATTTTACATTTTTGTACACTTTTGACTTTATTGTCACGGTTTATGAAAAAATGGACGAAATATTCCCACTATTAAGTCATAAGAAAAGGACGCAAACAGCGAAGAAAATTTTCTTCTCGACGATTCATTTCCATAAAAGCTGAACAGTCGTAATTTTATTTTTCAAGTATTGGTTTTGTAGGGAGTTTTGTTTGACTGGTTGCAGGATTTTGAAAAATTGATCTGATACTGACTAGCGACTGACCCTATTCAGGCAGTTAACCTGAGATTCTAGTGGGAAGCCGTGACCAAAAGGGTACAGCAGGTTGAAGGTGAGGCAGTAACTCATTGAAGAAGACATTGCAAAGTGGTCACGCCAAATCGTGAATTAGCAGAAGTTAAAATTCATGGACAACCTCGCCTAGATTATTAGCTCACTAGTTTTCTAGCCGGTCCCAAGCCCGGATAAAGAGGGAGGGTTGGGGCGTGGTGCTGGCAACTCCACCCCCAAAACTAAACCAAGTCGCTACAGAAACTTCAAAGCACAAATATATTAAAAATTCTAAAAATATAAACAAACAGACCTTTATCAACAACTGTCTTCGCTGGCTCTATACTGAAGATCAGATGGCCGGAAAGAATCACCAACAAGAAACTATGGGAACAAAGAGAACAAGAACCAATCACTCAACAAATATGCAGGAGAAAGTGGAGATGGATTGGACACTCGCTGAGGAGGCCGCTGGGTGACATCGAGCGTCAGGCCAACGCTCGAGTGGAACCGAAAGGGAAGCGGCGAGTAGGACGTCCAAGGGTGACATGGAGGAGATCGTGTGAAGAGTAGCTGAAACAGTATGGACTAACATGAATGCAGGTGAAAAGTACAGCAGAAGACAGAAACAAGTGGAGGCGTGCAGTTGAAGCCCTATGTTCCACTAGGAACCCTAGGGAGCAATAATAATAATAAAATTCATGGACTGACCATTGGATCGGGTCCTGGTGGCCTAATGGTCTACGAGCTAGCTCATCTTGTGACCACAGGGTCCTGGGTTCAAACCTTAGCGGTGGGTACGTACTGATGAAGAGTTCCAGACTAGGCTGATGAAACAGCTGTCCAGTACTCCAGTGCTGGTTTTTCAATGGTGTTCTAACTGATGTCAGCTCATGATGAAATCCTTCAACCGTAATTATATTTAACAAGGAAATCACTAGACCAATCAGATACTGGTAAAATTTGTCCTTGAAAATCATATTACGTAGTGTATTTGAAGTACCTTTGTGTGAATACGCCATGTGTATACAACTGAATGATTGGCTATTCGAGATCTGAAACTCAACCTCTGCATTCAAAAGCACTACATATAACCACTTGTCCTACCGTGGCCAGAGTAGTGTTCTCACTATAATTTTGCTTCCTTTTATTGTGTAAGTTTATTATCATTATTATTCCCATCATCCATATTTTGTTATCGCTCTATTACTGTTTATTAATAACATAACACGCGTTTTCATACAGATTTTCCACTTTTTCTTGTCCACTGAACGCAATCATGTTGATTAGTCATTTTCTCGAGCTTATTAAGTCGTGCCAACTTCTACCTCCTTTTCTAATTCCCAATTAGTCGCCCCTTTCGAGACAACACCTTAAATTGCGTAATATGATTTTCGAGGACAAATTTTACCGGTATCTGATTGGTCTTGTGAATTCTTTGTTAAATATATAATCACGATTGTACAGCAGCTTATGAAAATGAATCGTCATAAATAAAAAATTTCCTTCTCTGTTTACGTCTTTTTCTAATGATGAAAAGCTGCTATTATCAATTTCGGTTAACTATACCCTGTGATGTATGTTTTTGGTGTTGGGTAAATTAGAGGCGTGCGTCGGTGGCATAGCGGTTAGGACGCTCGCCGACCATATACATGGTCTGGGGTTCGATCCCGGGCCACCGACGCACTCCTTTACCTCGCTAAGCCAGAAATAATGCTGGTAAAGAGGAAAGGTTGGGCATGAGCCCTATGTTCCACTAGGGAACGTGAAGGAAAAGTAATAAGAGGCAATACTGTGTCAAATACTGAGAATTTCATACTATATCATAATTAGTTTTGAAATGAAGCGAGTCATCAGACGGTTGGAGGCAATAGGCCACAGGAAGCCTTGTTTGACCCAGGTCTCGTGATAGTTGGCACTCACTAGTCAGCAGGGCGTATCTGCAACCTCAAAGGGACTCATTTCCCTTCTGAGATTCGAACCCACGTCACCTAATGCCGCCTGCAGTCAGAGACGTTACCACTGAGCTATTCAGGCTCGCGATTGACCTCCTGTAGGACTGTATCTGATACTTTGGTTGGACACTAGTTACTGACTAGTATCCAATCAAAAGTAAATCATTATCAGTATTATTATTGATTTAATTTCAGTAATTAGTTTGGTTTTATTCATACTAATTAATTCACTTTAGTCCCTCTCACATGTTCCTTGTGTACATTTTCTCACCCGCTTCACTCTTGTTAAATCGACACTCAACTACCTTATCACTAAATAACAATATCCACCTCATCGTATTTCTAACCCTTTCTTCTTTGGTGACGTAGTAATTAATTAATTTTACCTTTCAAGTCACTTCCGAGTAATTACATCAATTACCTTACTCCCCCCATCTATTACTCAAAAAATGAACTACTATACGTGTTTTGATAAATACAAATACGACTGTACAGCCTCTGAAGACGATTTCATTGCTGAATGTATTTTCTGTCTAATATTAATTTATCAAATCACATATGAATATAAAAACCAGTCAGCTTGGAAACATGGCGATATCAAATCTTCACATGAGAATAACATGAGAGCTTTGTACGTTGAAAAAATGATGAATCATATGATTACAAATGCTATCCAGACCATTTATAATCAAAGAACATCCATAGTACAATAATTGTCAGATTTTCCACAACTTATTTTTGATTGGACTAGTGTAATGTGTATAGTCCTATCTTCGGTGCAGACTGAATTCTATCAGTCAAGCTTGAAATGTGGCCACCATGCTAGGTGGCTCGCCATCATGGTGCACTGTAAATTGTTGGTATTAGATGGCTGAAGGCAACCGGCCACAGGAATCCTTGGACCAATCAAAAATATCAAATACAGTCCTACAGGAGGTCAATCGCGAACCCGAGTAGCTCAGTGGTAACGTCTCTGACTGCAGCACTGGGTTCAAATCGCAGAAGGGACATGAGTTCCTTCGAGGCTACCCCTTTCCGACTAACACGAAACCTAAGTCAAGTGAGGCTTCCTGTGGCCGATTGCCTCCAACCATCTAATTTCCACAACTTGCTGTAAAAATATCTTATAACGAAAGTATTCCTAGATCAGACTTTGAAGGAATAACTGTTTGAAAAATCCCTCGAAAACGATTTAATCCCACTATTAATACATACTTGAATGCTTCAGATATTACTATTCTCTTGGGTTCTGAGCTGAACACAGAGCTTCAACAGAACCTGTCCACCTTGTACCATTCTCTTCAGTCCTCTTTTGTTAGACTAATGATTGTCTATATGCTCTCATCTCCTCATCATACGATATCCTCCATGTCACCCTCGGGCTCGGGCTCAACTTGTTGTTTCCCAATTAGGTTCCACTCAACCGATAACTTGGCGCGTGACGTACCCAACGATATCCTCAGTGTGCGTCTCATCCATTTCCATTCTCTTCGGTGTACTTTTCGGGCAACAGGTGCTCGAATAATTCTTTCCGAGAGTTTGCCGCTAATCCATTCTGGCCGACCATCTGATCTTCAGGATGGAGATAGTAGAGGCAGCTGTTGATAAAAGTCTGCACTAGACTGTCGGAAATTTCGTTTTCGTGATGCGAATAACAAGCTTCTGATTCACATAGAAGAACTGATTTAACATTCATGTTGAAAATCCAAACTTTGTTGTTTATGCTGATTGAATAAGATTTCCACACTGATTTCAAGGTGATGAATTTTAGAGTATCTTGCATTTCCGATTCTGGTTTCAATCCGTTCCGTCTGCCTGTAGTTGAAACAATACTGCCTTGTTTCTCTCTCAGACTATATATTGCTTTCCTAACTCCTGTTTATCACCTGAGTACTTATTCCTGATTATTTGTCTTTGTTCCTCTTTAATCTCTAACTTTAATACTTCTCTTTGTGCTCGGGTCACAGAAGATATTAATAATGTGCTATTTTACCAGTGGAAAACAGCGATACATTTGCCTAGTTACATAAAACTCTGATTTTTGTGGAATATCTTATCAAAAAGTTACGAAAAACTTTTACAATTATTTGACTATGAAACACTGAATCTTTGGATATAATATTCTATATTAATAACACCTATAACTATCTATTGCCAATCTGTGCTTGATTAACACTAACTAATACCTATAATTGTATATATATTGATGGATTTACATGTTCAAGAT